CTTAAGGACTAAAGTTAATGAGTTTACTACTTTTGAGGATATTGAGGTACTGAATTTTAACTAAATTATAAGTAATGAATGATTATATAAATTGATATTATCATAGAATGGGAAATAAGCACTCATAGATCTCATCATATTATTTTTGTTTTATATTTACAGAAGGCCATCAATAACTTTCCTAAAGAAAATTCATTTTAGAGTGAAAAATTTTAGTGTCGTACCTATATAGAATAGTCACAAAATCAATCTGAAACCTTGATTCCCTACATATGAGGTATAGTTGATCGGATTTACAATGCGGTGATTATCATAACAATTTTTTACAAATAAGTGAGCAAAATTGTCAAAGTTAAGAGTAACAAAATGAAAGTACTCAAAATACTTTTATGATGGCTTTAGTTATCATACATTATAGTTGGACCGGCTTCTTTCAATAATTAAACTTTCAAATTGCAAATTGGAAAAATAAAAATAGTCTATACCACGATGGTGGTTATATTGATAGCAATTTTCAAATGAAAGGGATCCAATGAAAGGGATCCTATTAATGAAATTTCTCCAAATTCTAATATAAATCATTTAACGTTTAAATTTTGATACTAATGTGGAAGATTTAAAATATTGCAAAATTGAAACATTTTCAAGAGGAATTTATTGCTTAAAAACTTAAAGCAACATTTCATTCAACCTCAATAATAAATTGTTTAGATTATAAATTTTAAAAAAACCTTGATTCACAAAAACAATATAATATATATATATATATATACATCTCATCATTTTTTTGTCTCATATATATTTATATATATTTTTTGAAAGCCCTAGGGCTGATTTTATTGAAACAGAAAGGATACATAAATGTTGTATGAGAAGAGTCCAAAATAGGCTCCCTACCCATACGATACAAGTACAGTAATACCCCAACAAAAAGATACAGATAGACTCAATAAAATGTAAAACAAATTTAAAACATGCAGAAAACAAGTAGTTAGAGACGAACCAGTTTAGTTCTGCCTTTTCCTTTAGTTTTAGGAGCGGAGTCAAATAACAAACTTCGAAGAGTCGTGCCATTGTCAGGAGTAACCAAAGTACCATCCATTAAGTTTCCAAGTTAGAGTGTGCCCCCAGCTTTCTTCTTCCGCCGAGAAGTGTAAACCTATCATTCTTCATCTGAAGACTGGCTCATGTGATCATCGGTCTGATTTGATGTTTGTGATCCTCAGTCTGATTTGATGTTAGAACCGCAGTAGGATGAGAGACAGTCGTTGCCACCGTTATAGGTTTCAATGCATGTGAAGTGTGAATTGTTACCTATGCACCTAATGCTTCTTGAATAGGAGTTGCGAGACTATCCTGATTTTCGGTTCGAACATTATCCGTTGTAGTTTGGTCAGGAGAAAGGATCCCAGGGGCAGACACCAACTTCTGTCTTGTGGTGATTCCCTCATTAGGTTGGTCATCGGGTTTGTTGAGAGCGCGTTCAGACACATGGGGTGGACTAATAGTGCTTTTGACTACTAGTTCTCAACTATGGGTGCAATCTGAAACATTTTTTCTACGGGTGTTCAAATATCTTGCAACGCTTGCAATAGTAAGGTTTTTGTTTCATAATGATTTTTTGCCAATAATCATTATGAGCAGAGGCAAGCCAGACTTTTTTAACATCTAGTAGTGTAATATCTCTTTTTAAATCAAAATTCTTGCAATAGAGGACCTTGAGAAATGAATTGTAGGTAAGTCTACTTGCAAAGATGTTTAAAGGATAGTCCCAATTGCATATAAGATATGTAGGTCAAAGAAATGAAGCTTTAGTTCAGGTAATGAGACTCAGATAGGTGCAATTGGTGGTTCTTGACTGGGATCAAAATTAGGGGTCCATTTGAGCAATTTCATATGTTTGCCATCAATTGTGATGAATTTCTTTGAGAAAATCCTCGTGTAATCATCTTGTATGCTCAGTTGTATCATAACATGCCTTCGGTCGAAATGACCCACCTGTCAATCCTCAACCAGTTTGAAGTCTTCAAAAACATTCCTTATGATCTCTATCTTACGGTAACCTAATTGGAATTTTCCAACTAGTGTAAATTTGTATTTTTCTGCACTGAGTTGAAATTTCAGCGTCAGAGAAGAAAATTGCTGGTTTGCCCGACTTTTTCTCTACTTTTTGATGAGATTGCAATCGTTATTTACTGAAACAGAATCATAGTAAATTTGCGGGAATACTGCACTATCTGTGAGTTGGAAAGGAGATCTGCGTTTGTGAACTACTGTAGCATAGGAAAACCCTGAGGCCAGTAGCGTGCTTCACATAATCACTGCAGCAAATGACGCAATCGATACACGAGCAATTGAGCAGTCGAGCAGAAAATGTGGCGGAGCAGTCGAGCGGCCTTGATCAATCTGCAGCGCGCGCAGACGCTTGCAGCAGATGACGCAGACGGCGCAGGCGACGCAACAGGCGAGCAGTCGACACAGCAGACCAGGCTCGACGAAGCGACGACGCAGAGACGATGCAACAGGCGAGCAGGCTCAACGATGCGAACTCCTCCGTCAGCCAGAGCCGTAGACGAAGACGGGAATGATCGAAACGAGCGAGCGAAAACAGACGTCTGTTTCGTTTTGAGCTAGGGTTCGCCATGAGCGAAAACCCTAGCAGAGCGAAGGAGACCCATCACAATCATTATATATATATATATATATATATATGCGTGCGTGTGTGTTTTGTGTTTTATTATTTTTGACCCAAGTTCATATCTTTACATAGATCCTACCCAAAATTGGGATGAATAAATGTGAGTTAGAAATTTAAAAAAAGTTTTTTATTTGTTTAATTTTCAATCTTATTTAATTTTAGAGCCTGAATTATCAACTAATGCCTTGGATTATTGTTTTTTTCCCCCACTTGTTTGGGATTTAAATCTAACACATCATTTTCACCATTTTTTGCAGTAATACTAATCTTATGCAACAAACTATTTGAAATGATTAAATTGTATTTACTATCAACTGTGAATATCTAAGTTAACTTATGTGGTAGATAGACAATACTAAATGGACATTTCTATTTAATCCAATATTTATGACCAGTTGTTTGAAAAAACTATCAATAAAAATGTTAGGCTGAGTTGAATACTTATAAGTTAGGTAAATATATGCTCCCAAACGCTTTTGCGTCCAGTGATTTCTTCGACGACTTATTGTGGCCTCCTCAATTTGGTTTATTTTGCTACTTTACTGTAATACTGGTTGTTTAATGGGTTATCTGATTTATTGGGTAATATTCTTCTCCAATTCTCGCATCATCCTTCTCTTGCCTTATTGGAAATCCTTGGATGTGGTATTTGTAATTCTTTTCATGGATGAGTTTTTATTTCGGCAAATCTTTTTTATTTTACCCTATATATATATATATTATATTTTTGGAATGTTTAGTATGATTTACTCCAAGTTGATACAATTCTGGTTTCAACTTATGTCTGAATTTCAACTCTTGGTGTAGCTTTTGTGGTTCTAAGTTTCTATTCATTGTTTCACATAAAATAATATTGAATTTTATTTGAATTGATTTTCCTTACAAATATAGAATAATTGTTAGAAGATTAAGAGTTTGTGACTTATAAATTGTGTACAATTTACATGAATTTTCTTTTTTCCCAAATTAGATTTTTATTAGAAATCCTAAACCCTATGGCATCTTACATCACAGTGGTTGTTGCTTTGGGATTCAAATTGCTTTGCTCCTTGAACAAAACCCTGGAAGAGCATTTTAATATTTGAAAAATTGTAGTAAATTTGGTTGTTTATTTATTTATTTATGTTTGTTTTTGTTTCATTTGATACTATTGTAACCATGAAACCGTAAATGCTTAATTTTTTTTTTTTAATTTCAGCAGTCTTTGCTAATCATACATTTTCTCAGTGGTCGGTTGAAGCATAAGTGGAAGGATATATGCAAATTTCGAGTATGGCCGTCAAAAGCCTCTAATTGTTTGCAGTTATTTGAACTTGATGATGATTACATTCATCAAGAGATTAAAAAACCTACAACTATGACAACTTGCTCGGTGAGTTCTCCTTTTAATTTATGGATTGTTCGGTTGTGTAAAAACTGTGTAAATTGTTTACATAGAAAATAGTGTTTTTTGTGTGCTTGATGTTAAGTTAATTATGTTAGGTCAGTTTCTCTTCAGATCTGATGCAAAATGGATGCAGTCAAATTGATCACATTTACTTTTCGGGTGATTTTCTTTGTAGGGATTTTAATTAAGCCAAATCAATCAACCACTTCTTTCTAAATTTTAACTTATGATATTCCAAAACCAAAATTATATTAATAGAAGAGGGACGTCAATGACAATTCGTTTAGGAGTATGATTGACGTGTCATGTCATGTTATTCTTCAGCAAGGTTGTTAGTCACAAAATACCTGAAAATAGTGAAATTTTGAAGAAATATATTGATATATTTTCATTATTGTGTTTTTTGAGTTTGATGATAAAGCCTTCTTTTACTAGTAATAAATTTTTACTGTATTACAAAATGCGAAGGAATCTCTATGGCTTTTCGTTGAATTTTGGAAGATCATAAAGTTGTGAAAAGTTTTAAAATGGCTAGTCTTGGCGAGAAATGTGCGCGCCATGTTTGTATTGCAGTCATTAAGGATATGGATGGCTAGAATCCAAAGTAGCCTTGGTTGATACAAATTTCGCATATTGTTGGACTCCGACCATTCTTTTCCCATTCTTACTTGGTATGTTTAGAATGTAAGTTTATTCTCTTCGCCATGTCACTTGTATTGTGGTGAGATTAAATGTATTGAGACTAGCCAATTAAAGCCGAAGTCTTAAGTAAGTTAGATATTATGTTTATATTGTATTTTTTTTTAAATAAAAGAAATTGATATAGGTGGTAATGTAATTGGTAGCATTAAAGTTGTATGCTCAATGGAGAGGAGCTCTTCATGATATTAGATATATCATGGCGGCTACAGGGCAAATTTAGTAGATTGGAAATACGATTGACAAGTGCATATGGATCACTATTAGAATTATAGCATTAATAATGCAAGGAGAGAATGCAGTAAGGAAATGATTTAGGACATTAGAACTTGGAAGAATGAAAACTAACAATATAATCAAATGGGAAACCTAACAAGTGATGCGCATGCAACCGCTCAAACAGTTGCAAAGTCATTTCCCTTTCTCACAATTGTTATATAGGCTCATAGTTCGTCTATATAGGCTCATAGTTTGTCGTGCTCCCACTAGCAGTGCTCATTGCTCGTAGACCTCCAAGCTCCAAGTTGCAGGCAACCTAGTCTTGGCCCTTATTCTCTACCTTGACTCTAAATCCTAATCTAAAAAATATGAAAATCTCGTTATAAACATATTAGGCATGTCAGATGTTCGTAGGGGAAAATATGTTTCTTAATTCTTGGTATATTATGATTTGAGCTATCAACCTCAGACACCTCAATCAAGGAAGACACAAGCTTCACTTAGACCATTAAGGCATATGCCTCGAGCAAAATTTTGGGTTCATCATGGTAAGGCGAGCCTAGAGGTGTATGCCTTGAATGTGTTTTAATTCATCCTTGAAGATGAGAAAAAATAACGCAAATTAGAGATACTGATAGTTTTTAGAAGAGTCCAAGTGTGGAGAGCAAGAAATCATTTGCATTAAAAAATATTAACATGTTATGATCTCTAGAGGAAAAATCTTGAATTATATGCTTCTAGGTTTAATCTAATAAGAATATGATGGGGGTCAAGTTGCATTATCAATTGCAAATCCAACATGAATCTATGGATAATCTAAGATTGGGATGGCCCTAGGAAAAAATTTCAAACTAATCTGAAAGTAAATGGAAACTTTGACTTATGGGTCTAATAATTTGGGAGAAGAATGGGCAGGTCTACTCTGGAAGGCAGAGTATTACTTGTGTTGAGGTGGTTTTGAGCCTTATTGAAAATTAGAGGAGGAAGCAGGTTGGGAAACTACTCCCCATTAGCCTTAGCAAAAGAAAAACAAGTGCAATAGGGCACTAAACAAAAATAAAAAATATGAATGGCGGAGGAATGGGGGTAATTGAAATAGAACACAAAGCATTGCGGAGATCCATTTGCGCTAAGGATTCACAGGATGTCAACTGGTATGGGTGAGCACTAACATGGTGAACACAAGCACACGAGCGTAAGTGTCGGAGAATGCGAGTAGCGAAAGCTACAAGGTATGTGAGTGTGAATGATGATGGTAGATAGTGCTGTGAGCGCAAGCAACAATGGAGAGCTTAGGATAAAAATATGAACATCTTGATGTATCTTGTTGGCTAAGGTTTCTATTGCAATTAAATAATTCTATAATGTGAATAGCATAAATTGCATTTGAAAGTCACAATTTCAGAGGCCATCAATTAAAACTAGGCAGTTTTCTTTTAATTTAAGCTTGAGATAAGAAATTCATACCAAAGCATGATTCTGTAATAATTTCAATTAAAGAAAGTTGACTTGTAAAATCAAAACCATTAGAATTTATATTCACAATAAGAAAACTAGATGTAACTATTTTAACCAAATTCAATCACATTCGTAAAAAACTATTGAATTATATAGATGAAAGAAGAATATAAGAAGATATCACCAATTACAACATGTCATGTTGGTCGAAATAGATGACTTCATCTGATAATTGTTAGTCACTTGTGCGCTAGATTTGAAGGAATCAACATCCAAACAATATGTATGGTTGAGAAAAACTAAATAAAATTTAATTATACGCCATTTTTTTTTCGCATTTATAAACATTAAAACTGCGGAAGTCTACAATCTTTGGAATTTCTCTTACAACAAAACTATACAAATATTTTGAACTTTAGTGTTGAAATCTTGTGAATGAATATTCAGCAGTGCACAAAGCTGACGTAGCGGACAATGCAGAAAAGGAGGTGGTCACTACTTTTATCTTGAAATTATTCGACTCCACGAGCAAAGAGATAACAAACCGAATCCACGGGCAACAACTCAAATTGACCAATAACGAGAGTAAAGTCTCAACAAAAAAATTCTTTGTTAATCTGGAAATAAAACTTGGTGGTTACGAGCAGAGGTGGGTATTATATAGACTGCAAAACTATAACTTTAGGATAGAAATAACTCAAATAAAATAGTTGCTACAATTGTCAAAAAATAGATAAGGAAATCCCAATTAAAATAAAAAATCAAGACTTGAAACTGGAGCAGTAGATGGCCAAATAAAGACTCCCAAATGGGATCATAGGAATCCAAATTAAATAAGGAAAGAAATAGTGGTTGGTAATGAGGCTCGTAATTGGAAATTCTCCCTTCGTGCTTGGAATTCTCGATAGGTTGTTCTACATTAGCCTCCTCTGCTTAAAAAGAACTTGACCTCGACTTTATTACTTGAGAAGATGATACATCAAGAGGATGATATTTAAACAAATCAATGACAATGAAAGTAGGAGAAATCACTATATCTTTCGGAAGATCCACAATATAAGCATTATCATTAATTTTTTGCAGGATATAAAAAGGGCCATATTCTTGTCTTTTAGCTTGCTGTACGTCCCCCTATTGAAATACTTGAGCTCTTTGCCTTTATAGGCAACTGCCTTGTACTTGGCATTGGATTGTTCTTAACATTTTCTACACCTCTTCTTGAATGTCCTTGATTCGATCCGTCATATTTTCTGCTGTGATACTCAACCTAGGGAGTTTTGGCAAAGGAACCAAATCTAAAGCATGGCGTGGAGGACAAAAATAAACAATTTGGAATTGGGTCCTCCCAAGAGCAAGATCCCACTGTATCTGTTTCCCTCTCGAAATACAGCGAATTGAATTCCCAGTAGTGTGTTTCACCAATTTGTCTGATCATCGGATTGAGAGTGACTCGTGCTATTGAAATTTAGGGATGCGTCAATTTGCCTCTATTAAGTCCGCCAAAAACAACTCAAGAATTTTGTGTCTCTGTCTAAAGTAATGGCTTTGGGAACCGCATGTAAACTAACCACCTCTTTGAAAAGTAAATTTACCGTGTGTGTTGCATCTAAGTTTTTTCGCAAGCAATAAATTGAGCCATTTTGGAATAGCTATCTGCCACAACAAATATTCAATCAAATCTGTGTTGGGTTTGAGGAAGGTTCCGGATGAAATCCATAGAAAGATCTTCCCAAGTCGTCGTCAGAACAGGTGGGGCATATAAAGGCCCGTATTTTGAGAGTGACCTTTGGACTCCCAACAAACAGAACATCTTTTGACATGACTACCAATATCCCTCTTTTGTTGTGGCCAATAATACCTTTGCTGTAAGAGCCACAGTTTTATCGCGACCCAAATGTCCACTTAAACCTCTACCATGTAATTCGTGAATTATGTGCTCTCGTAGTGAACTCCTTGGAATGCACAATTGGTTGTCTGAAAACAAATAACCCTCTTGAATACACATTTCGCCAACGAAAGGTTCTGACTGACATTTTGCCCATATATTCTGTAAGTCTTCATCGGCTGCATACAACTTCTTGAGACATTCAAATCCAATTACTTTCGTCCACATTTTGACTAGAAACGACTCCTTCCTGCTTAGAGCATTAGCCTCCCGGTCTAATAGACCTGCTTTATGCTTCAAGGTGAAAGTGAAGCGTTGTATAAACGAAATCCACAGAGCATGCATCCGGTTGACACTATTCTTTTTGTTTATAAATCTCAGCGCTTGGTGGTCAATAAATGAGATAAACTTCCTCCGGACTATATAGTGTTCCCAAACTTTCAAGCACGAAAAACATCATACAATTCCAACTCATAAGTACACCACTTCTGGCAAGCTTCACCGAGTTTCTCGCTATAAGAAGTAACCGGTTGACCATCTTGAGAGAGTGCAACGCCAACTGCAACAATAAAGATGTCATATTCTACTTGAAACAACTTTTCAAAATCTTGCAGTGCTAAAACTGGGGTCGTGGATAATTCCTCTTTGATCAACGCAAAGCTTTGTTCTGTTGCTGCTCTCCGATAGAATTTTCCTTTCTCATGCTTTTTGTAATTGGCGCGAC